AGAGAGAGAGAGAGAGAGAGAGAGAGAGCGGGTGAAACCGCCAGAGCGGCTTAAAACGCAACGCAGAGAGATAAATTAATTTTCAAGCCGCCGAAGGTATGACGCGTTGAATTTCTAGCACGACTACGGCCCAAGACAAAGGATCCCGCCAATGAGAATGATAGGATTTAAGGGCGAGAGATGCCGCAAGATGCAAGCGAATGTTTGTCACGTGGCCGTTGGAACTTCAATTGTCTAATTAGTAGACGAAGCTTTAATGAATAGACCGAAGTGAACGAGATAGAGACAGTTTCCTTGATATGTGATATTATATTTTTAATTAATATCCGGGCATTAAATATCCATTGAAACTGTTGTAATTTTGTAAGAAACAGAAAGAAAAAAACACAGACAGTTTAAAGGACAGCTGTACCTTCAAAACGTACCTAAAATGAATCTGACTGGTATTAGCATCTCTGATGCTAGACTAATGAAATTATTAATATCAACGACTGTTAATGGAAATTGATCCTCTAGATGCAAGAAATAAATGAATAAATCAACCTTAGAGAAGGATCGTGTAAGTCGACGAAAAAAATGTAACAAAAATATTAATCTTTCAGTCCGAGGCTGTCCATATTATTGGATCAAACAGACGCAGGCAAACAAATGCTTCAACTGTTCGATAGAAGCGCTGCTCGAAATTTCCTCCGAAATGTGTGCGCGCGCTAGTCGTTCAAATTCCAACTACTCGTGCCTGGTTGCGATGTAAATCAGGCTTCACCGACAAAACGGCCACGAACGATGATCCGCCAGCAGCTAGCAGAGAAAGGTCATCGAGCATGACCGACGACCTTGGGTCGTGCACGGTCTCCCGCGTGTGAGACCAACATCGCGTTACACGCGTTATGCTGTTTCGCCTGCGGGCTTGAACGCCAGGAGAGGATCCGATGGGAGAGACACGGGTGGTCTCTGCCGCCGGAAGGAGAAAGATTGAACGAAACGAAGCGGGGAAGGTCAGGGGCGGAAGGGCGGAGGGGAGAGAAGGGAGATGGCGAAGGTAACGAGAGAAAGGAGCACCGCAACAATACGGTGTACCGAAGGCGCCGCAGGAAGGGTGCACGAGGCAGACGAGGGCAGAGTTCGCTCCATTCATAGCTTCGTATGCACACTGTGCCGCGCTCGAATGCACACTTGCACCGTTGCACTTGGCGGAGATGCATTCGCGATCCTCGGCCAGTGACTCTCAAGGCCGAGCTCTCCCGAGGCCCGAGGGCCGCCTCTCTAATTGGCCGAGCCAAGGTTTCTCCTTCTGAGTGCCGTGGATTTCGCGATCCTCGCTCTGGGTCCTCTCTCGCACAGATTCGAGGCTGTCCTTCTGAATTAGAATGGCACTCGATTGATACTTCGCGCGAGATTCAGTGACGATCATAAGATTCGCAACAAAGTCTATGTCAAACACTCGAAAATTAGTTCTAGTTTCACAAATACGACCGAGAAATGGAATTTCCATTAAATTTGGACCTTTCGTGTATTTTTTTTTTTTTTTTTTTTTTACGTGTCATATATGTGTTACGCATTGTTGAAGACTTTAGATTTTATCATAAATGTCTACGAAATATTGAAAGAAATTTCTTTACCTTCGACCAGAGGCCTAAATTTTAGATTCCCAGATAATTGTTTAATGACGAATTTTTTTTTTGAAAGGACAGAGGCACGGGTGATCACGGCGCGCTATTTTGTAATTGTAATGTGCCTGTGATAAATTTCTAATTGTGCAGCCCCTCGTGGGACTACACAGGTTAAATATATGGATTGAATGTTATCAGGGTTCGCGATATCTTCGCGGGAGCACATTGGTGGAGTCTCTTTCATGAATTATCCTCTCTTGATCCTTATCCGATTTATTACAAATTCGATCGCGATGCCCATAATCAGTAATCAAGATGGCCAATAGTTTGTGCAACAGTTACTTTCACAGAAGACAAAGGATAACAGGAATTTTCGTAAACCGTGCACCGGTGTTTTATTGCATCCTCCTCCTTCGTTCTAACGATCTCTTCCTTCGCATAAATTACCCTTATCTTCGAGAATTTCGTGCTCTCGATCGGGAGTATCGTACGAGTGTATATCGGGAACTAAACTGCGAGAATACAAAGATTATGATTGAACGGATAACGGAGTCTGTGCTTTTGTCTCGAACGAAATTGTTATTCACGGGATACAGGAAGTAATACCGATCGAATAACCGGACGATTAATTCCCTTCTCCCTTCCCGTTTCCTTATCGTTCCCTTCGCTTTTCTTGATTAATCTTCTGCAATGTCGTATAATTCGAAAGCTACGAAATTCATTATTATATCTCGAGGTATCGTGCAACAATAAATGACTTGCTCGTAATAATCATTAGTAAAGTTTTGCGGACTTTTATGCGGAATTCCAGAAGTTTTGAAGAATACAATCAGAAAAATGAAACCACTGGGTAGAAAATTTCGTTACTTTCAGAGCACTAAACTTCGAATGTTTTATATATTTTGCACTTTGAAATTTCCTACAAATGGATAAGTTAAAGTGTACAACCACAATTGAATCAACAGTCTTCTTTAGCTTTAGTTGTAAATTACATTTCAATCTCATTTTATCAAAGATTGACTCAAGCCTCATGCTAATTCATGTAAAAACATGTTACTTTGACAGAGCAAAGAGAGCTGTCTAGTAGAAATCGCTCTCTCTCTCTCTCTCTTTCTCTCTTTATTGTCTTCAGAAGAGTTTATCCTTTTTTAAAATAGTACTTCTTTCTTTCTCGCAAGAAAAGCTGCTTTCTTTCCCCGAGGGCAATCCTTATAGACTCGACTCCTTTGAGCAACGCCATCAAAGAAGAGGATATTGGTAAACTCGATGGCAAACCTTTATTACATTAAATTTAAAGAGGCCACTCTTTGCTGCTGGGATATCGAACCATTTGCATAACCGACGCTACTATCAGATAACATACGGTTACTTGCTATGCGAGGTTCAACAAGGTTAACACAGTGTAATCAGAATTTCATCGCTATTGCTTTGAATAATTTGAATTTCTTGCACGATAGTTTTCCTCTCCTCCTGATATGAAATTCAGTTTTCAGGATATTGAAGGAATTGTCACGTTATTTTTGCGACAAT